CAAAATTTGGCAATCAAAAAGGACTGCCAACATTTTGGCAAGCTAGGCAACCACGGCATTTACAGTTGATTTTTTTATTATTTTCACTATTTCCCATCAAAAGGTTCCTTCTGGCCGACTCGCCGCTTGCGGAAGAAAGCGGCCACTTCCTTCTTCCTCGTCCTCGTGAACTCGCACAGGGCCTGCCCCATTGCCCGGCCGTTTGACCCGCGAGCCCACTCCACCCCACCCCTTCGCCGAGCGAAGCGGTGCGGATCAGCTGCCGGCTGGCTGGCGGTGCGCACGGCGCTGGGTAGGCCACCCGCTCGCCAGGGAGGCCAACGTGTAGCCTACCCGGCCCCTGCCTGCCTGGAGCGACACCGCCTGCGGCGCAGCGCCAGCTCCACCTCGCTCAGCCCTGTTGAATGATGGAAGCGCTTCTAGATTTTGGAAAACAGATTCTTCCACCAATGTTTCGGTGTTTTGTTTATTAAAACGAGAAATAAATCACAGAACTATTTGGTGACTGCATCCTGGATCGGAGAACGGAAGGTGCGAGATCGAGTAGGGGAGGGTGGGGCACCTGGAGACGGATTTGTTTTTCACGTCCATAGCACAAAGATGGATCCACTCACGAAGTCAAGAGTTTGGGGAAACCAAACTGTATTCTTGACTTACAAAACCCGCCCATGAAAACTTTTCTATCCTAACCCGTTCTTAAGTTACAGGCCTGTAAACCCATCGATGCAGACTGTCTCCAAGTACCCCATAGTGGGGCACCTGTAGACATGCATGGTGCACCTGGAGACACATGGTAAAATGCCGATAAATGGGATGGTAGGGCGTCCCACTTATCACCAAATTTAGATATTTGATGCGGACCTGGTCTCAAACGGTCAGTTTCTATTCAAATTCTTCAAATTTTGGGGTTGGTCAAGTTTTGACCCCCCCCCCCCCCCCTGTTTGGCCGCGCCCTAGGGGCCAAGGTGCAGCCCCCGTGAGAGTTTCAAAAAAAAAAGAAAAATGCGAAAAAAATCTTCTCATACGAAACACATTATTATAATAAACCTTTCGGCCTGGATTTTGCTCGAACTGAAACTGTTTTCGAGAAACAGGCAGATTTGTCCTCGAAATATAGAAAAAGCGAGTACTCTTCGGTGCTACTATTTCTAAAATTGCGCCTACCGATCGCAATTTTGATGGTATCAACACGTACGAAAGCTTGTTTTAATCACTTTTATATGCTCTTTCATATTTAAAAAAATCCGGGTTGAACCGGACCGACCTAAGACAAAAAAGGTAACATTCGTGCTTTTCAGCAAATTTAATCAAATTTTGGCAAAATTTGGTGCTGCTAACTTTTTTGTCTCAGCTCGGACTAACCCGGAGATAATTTTAAATGACAGAGCATAAAAAAGCGATTAAAACCAGCTTTCATACGTGCTGCTACCATCAAGATTGCAATCTCCAGGCCCGATTTGGCGTCAATTTTAGCCTGTCTCCAGGTGCCCCACAGAATGTGTCTACAGATGCCCCAAGTGTTACTAAAGTATTTGGCTTTCCCTATCCCTAACCTATGGGGCTGAGAGATCTTCGCCGACTGTCCTTGACCAAGCCCAAAGGGTCAGAGAACAAGAAGCAAAGCGAAATTCAAGGCTATAATATGTTTAAAGGTACAATAAGCAATAAGGCAGACGAACAATAGAATTTACTTTTCACTGTTTTTCGGACTGCTCAACTTTCATCGGGTCTTTAAACTCGGGATGTTGCGCCACAGTCACCAACTTCTCAAAAGATGATCTGTTAGTTGAGCACTACCAGTAGGTACCGACGGAACCGCGCGGATATTTGACTTTCGCGAGAAATAGGCGTTGTCTCCAGGTGCCCCAGTCTCCAGGTGCCCCACCCTCCCCTACTCTGGTCATCGTCGTATCTGAGTGGGGACATGGACTCGACCAAGTCATAATATAACTTCAAACTCCACTCATTTCTGATATTTCTCAGCTGGAACCGAGCTTCTAGGATTTTCTGTTACACACCAACTCCTTGCGTTCCAAGTTACTGATTTTACATATGGCAAGAGCTGGATACAGAGCTAAAACAACGTAGTGCGGTCTATTTTTGCAACAGTGCGCTCCCCTCGGCTCCCCTCTATTTTCCCCCGGCGGGCTCCCCGCCCAACCGCACTCACACCCTCCATGACGGGGCGCCCCCGTGCGCGGGCGCTGATAAAAACCACACCCCCATCCCCCAGCACGGCCGCCCCCGCACGAGCGGCCCTTCCCCTCCTTTTATATTCTATTTCGACGCTCGTTTTTATGCTCCCAGCTTTAAATCCCTTAGGGAAAATAACTCTGGATTTAGTTTTCCTGATGGGAATTTTCCATTCAGGATTTTACCATTTCCCAGTGAGGAATTGAAACACTTTTCTATCTGGATTTTCATTTTCCATACTTCCGTTTTCCATACTTTTAATTTCCATAGAAAATAAAATCCCAGACCGCTCTGGAATCCGTATGGAGTGT